TCCAGGCCTGAAGTTACGAGTATGAAGTTCTCTAGAGCTAAAATAATTACTCTGTTTTCAGCCTGCTGCATAAATAATGCACTCATCCTAGAGCTTTAAATTCCCAACCAAATATTTCCTGAGAGTTCCTACAATTAACGTCGCAGGTTTGGTCCAATATATACTAACATCCCTATCCAGGCTACCACTGCACTCCTTACATACGCATAAAGATAAGGGAAACAATGTTAGTTTTCCGAAGTTTGAGTTAGGAAGGACAAACCTGATGTCAACAGGCACTGTCACAGAGCTTGATTTAAAACCTGTTACATTTGGAAGACAATGGGGGTAGGGGCTTGTGTAACAGTTTGCAAACTACTGCTGTGAGTTGGCATCAGTATATTTAGTTATATTTAGTGTGTATGTATATATATGTATATTTAGTGTGTATGTATATATATGTATATTTAGTTGACATAAGTGTATGTGCAAAAGTAAACTAAGTTCCTAAACTTAGAAATACTGTTGAACAGATACAGTTTTGTGTAAATAGTTGATAAATTTCACCAAGGTAAACTGCTGGGGTTTTAATTTCTAGGTTAAAGACCAGAGTCTAAACAGACTCTGAACACAAGAAGCTCAGGCTGGCCGCAGCAGGGTGCTCTTCCCTCCAGTGGACTCCTCACAGCTTGCAGGGGAACAAATACTCGGCTGAAACAAACTGGTCCGGCTCCCATTAACCTTAAAGGTATTCAGTCAGCTTACAAATGAAAGAGAATCTGGTCCTCAAGATAGAATTTTTAAGTATTGTCTAAATCTATGATATTGCGCAAATGGACACATATACTACATGGATTTGACTATTCCATTAAAATAAACCATCTGCTTATAAAGTACATCCACCTTTTTTGTTGCTTTTGTTTTTCTCATCTACAAGAACCTTTTATTTAAAAAATAGTAATAGTAGTTTCCTCCCTCTCCTGAATTCCTTACCATTATATACTGATGATTGTTGGGGTAAAGTCATACCCCAAAGTACTCTAGGGAGAATCTGATCACAGAACCCAACAAAATAAGAAGGTATGAAGATGACGGGGGGGGGGGGGGAAGAAAAAAGGAAAAGCCCCTTTTTTTTTTACAAAATTTAGATACTTTTTAATCCATATAGCTTTCTCTTCATATATATTCATATATGAACGTAGTTCATATCTTTTTAAGCATCACGCATCGCAAATAGTGCTGTTTACTCTCCCCCAAGAACATCAAGTACAAGCCTCACAGAAAAAAACAAAAAGGAAAGAGGAAAAAAAAAAAGACCTAGCAAAGAAACAACCTGGCTGTTTATCTAGGTTGCGGCTAGCAATTACTCACACAACTGCATAAAGAATCCCTGAGGTACGGTGTACATTACCAGGTTTCCTTTTGTACCCACAGGTCTGCACGAGTCCACATGCACATTTGTTAAAAGCAAGCAAAATCTAGCCTGTCAGAAAACTGCAACAGACCACAACAGAGAGAACAGTCACTTTCCAGATTACAGCCTCACTGAACTGGACTGGAGCCTACAAAACAGACATCTTTCATCACATCTTTGAGCAGGCATGACTGAGTTAAGCAGAAATGGTTTAAAAATATGGTGGTGAGAGGTTAAGTACAATGGCTGTTACCTCACTCTTACTGTTTCAAAGTCGTAGTTTGTAACATCAGCTCCCCTTTGGTTTCCAAAAGTGGATGGGAAGAGTCAGAAGACTTGGGGAGACGCTGTGCCTTTGCAAACCCAAGTCACTACAAAGAGGTTCTTTAGGGGTACTGAGTATGTAGAATTTAAGACAGACTGTTATAAAAACTGTCATACCAAAATGAAATAAAATCTTTTATCCAGACTCCAGTACCTCTCATCGTCCTGGCCCCAAGAATCAGGGCTCCAAAGAACAAGCACCTTTACAGCTACTTCTTCTGTTCACATGCTAAAACACAAGTAACATGTTATCAATGAAGGGCAATATAAAGCTTTAACCAGTGACTGAAAATACAGTCTATTTAAAAATCTGAGTAGAAAATTGCAGGGGATTGCTAAACCAAGGAAACTGCTGCAGTTGTTCGTCAGGAAAGCCTAGTAGTTCACTCCAATTTCCAGAGGAATGACGTTAACAGGAATTAAAAATCACACATGCAAAAGCTTCGTGTTCTGCTTTACTCATTTGCTGTGCAATACATAAAAAATAAATAAAATGAACAGCATGTTTTTCTCATCATGGTGTAAAGTCTGCTTGATTTTTCAACTCTTTCTTTACTGAATGTTTTGGAAGTTAGATTCTTCCCAGAGGAGCACGCGGTGCAACCTCAAAAGTCAACAACATGGTTCTTCTGTTTGGAGTCTCTGGTCTTTAAAGAGTGTGCTCAGTTTCTTAACCAAGAAAAATAGGAATGTCACAAGGGACTACTTAGATGTCTCTTCTGCTTTTGCAGCTATCCTGCAAATGTGCACCAGAAGTGCATGCATTTTTTATGCTAAGTAATCTAAAACTTTTATAAGAATTCTTAACTGTTATTCTACCCCACCTGAAAAACAATACAAACAGATACATTTAATTAGGTAGCCATCTGATACCTGACACTGCAGAACGCAGTCATGCTACTCCCAAAGCATTCGTGATCTTAAATCTTATAAAGGAATATACAACTTATACCCTCCTCAGAGTGTATGTGTTATCATATAATTATTGAACAAATATACCTAGTCCCCACCCCACTAACTTCCACTGAATAAATCCGATTGAGAAAATTCACTGGTAAAACTCCTTGTCAGACTGCAAAACACTGTAGTGTAGTGGACCCTTACATTAAGAACAAATACCTAACATGCACATGTGGCAGTGAGCTTTTTAAACCAAGTCAGTAAGGTTTTAAATAACTCATTCTTAATTCTGTGGGTTTTTTCTATTAACATCACATTTTATTAAAAAAATAAGTTTCCTATATTTAACATGTATATTAGCTTGCTGTATATGACTGAAGATCTCAAGACCTTTAACATTAAATGATAATAAATCAAACACTTTCTTCACAGTTTTGAAAAAGGGGAAGGGAGGAAGAAAAGGCAGGACAGGAAAGAGGAAGGAAAAGGAGGAAGCACCAGGCCATTCCTAGCAAGAGAACCAAATAGTTCTACAGCATCAAATTATGAACCTGCATCACAAACATCAGAAAAAGGAAAACTAACTATTATATTGATCAAATTTGGATATATTCCATGTAATTAGAACATACCATTGGGAAAGACTAGACAGGGAAGGAATACATTCTATTTGCAGTTGTCTCTTCTCTGTATTTCCAAGAAATTATTTTCCTTCCTTCTCTACAAGCCATCACTGATGTACTTGCATTTGTATAACCTACTATTCCATCCAGTCTGTCAGCTGCACTAAAGCCAGATATACAAGACCCTGCAGGGAAACAATCCGAAACTATTTTATCACAGATCTTCCCCAACAATGGCAAGAACACTGGATAAATTTGATGGAGGAAACAACTTGGAGGTGTGCACATTAGGTATTTAATTTGTAGTCCAGAAGACTGCCCCCGCATACTTTCAGCAAGAGACCTGTGTAGGAGTCACCTCTAACATAACGTATATACATGGTGCTTACATATTCTCCATGGGGCTCAGGGTCTATGCAAGAAGAAAGAGAAGAGGGAATGAACAACTCCCCTAAATGCCACGGGTTATCTGTGCAAAAGATTAGCAGCCCATGTTTGTACTGCTCTGTGTGCAATCACTCTGCCTTGGTGAGCGAACCCCCTTTTAAACGGAGGGTTTCACAGAGATAGTCATCTGTGCAGAAATGCCCTGGCAGTAACGTCATCAGCAACCGTGTTTTCAGGGTTTAGTGAGAATCAAAATTCACAGAGAACCTGAAGTACTGGGTTAGACTCGATCTTGTATATAAAAATTGATCTCGGGGGACACAGAGTTCAGCTAGTGAATTCTCTGCTGCTTCTCTCTGGGAGAAGGGACTAACAAATGATATTCCCAGTGGAAAAGCCAGGAGAGAAAATGCTATCTGCAAGCAGGAATAGAAGGTCGCTCTCTTCCCCCGACAGATTCCTCCCGGGAAGAGACAAGTTTCTGGTTCCCATCAAAGATAGCTATATTAGTAGAAGACCGTATACGTATCCTTGCACAAACCATCTCCTACTTTCCTCATTTGAATACCAAAGCCTTTCTATAGCAGGGATAAAAGGCTATGTTTGCAGCTTAAGCAACGATGCCATTTTAGATTGCTATAAAATCAAAATACACTGGAAATATCCAAACAAATCCCAACATTAGTCTGATGCTACCTAAAGCCAAGAACAAACAAGCAAGCAATGAACACTGGTATTTTGGTTTTTTGTGTGGATATTACAAAAAATAGTAATCATACACTTTTTTCTTTTTAAATGTTCATTACTTAGATAAAGCACATATGAATGTAACATTCAGAATTGTAACATAGAAAATGTAATGTGGGCAATCTGCTATTCCAAGTACACTTACCAAAATACAATTTTATAATGAAGAAAGTCTCAAAATACACCTGTACAACAACTGGGATCCACAAAATATGATTTAATAGTATCACTCAAGATCACTTCATTGAAACCACTTTTATAATACTGTTTGAATAGTCATCCCTGGTCAAGGAGCATTCTCCCTCTTTCCCTAGCCCATCCCACTAAAGCAAGGGTGGAATTTTAATTGCAACGCATATCTTTTAAAACCCCAAATCTGAAGCAGTCCTAGTAACTATTACACTGCCTACACTTAGATACTGGGAGGATGGGAATCACCCTCTCTGAGGCCATGGTACATTGAGACACTTACCCATATTATCGTTTGTAGCGCAAGCAGAATAATCTTGTAAAGGGCAACTAAATAGTGTCAAAATATGAATTAATTATCTCACTACCAAATCATTCCCTATGTGTTACTTAAGCCTGTAACATTACAACTTTACTGAAAAAGAAAAAGTTAACCATTTTATCCTATAAATATTTTCTTTATTTGCTTTATGTTTAGAAGTCGCTATTTAAGTTCTATTAACAGAAATACATAACAAAAGCTCCCTAACAAGTGGAAAAAAAGTAATTACAAATGCTGAAAAAGTTGGCCTCATTAACATATGTACAGACTTGCTTACTTAATACACATCTTTGTGGGAATTAAATCATTTTATGACACACATTTATACAGGCATTAAACATTCCCAAGTAACTTTGAGCAGAGAATACGCCAAATCTTTAGTCTGGGCAGACAAAAATGTATATCTCAGTTTTGATTGTGGAGCTAACATGCAACAGATACAACATTCAGTCTGAGCTGCTGTTGATAAGTTGTTCTGTTTTTTCCTGCAAAGATCTTTCCATTGAACTTGGGTCCTTTTGTCCCTTCTTGTCCTTGTTCTGCTGTTCCTGCAGCTTCAGGATTATTTTTCGTATTTCTTCTCTTTTGGTTTTCATTCTTGGGCGTGGAAACCAGTCTGTTAAGTTCATTGGTAGTTCAAAACTCAGAATGGGATTCTGAAAAGAAAGGTCATTTGAATATTACAGTAAGGAGTTACAACCTAAAAGACCGGAGAGAACTGTCGTAGGGAAAAGTACATTCTTCCTCATCTCGTTCCATCAGCATGGAACAAAATTTCTACAGTTTGGTGTTTTGTACATGTACAATTAAGGTAGAATCAATCAAGCTTCAGTATGTTACAGAGAAACATTCGTGCAGAATACAGTTCTGGTTATAAAAGCACCCAAATAATCTACTCAGTTTGCTACATCTTTTAGACAAAGCGTTTCACTGCAAAATTGTTCTAATTAAAAAAAAGAGAGAAAATTATTGTAACAATATAGCACATTTTTTTAAAGATGACTTGCATCAAAATCTAGAGCTGATTAGGAATCCGTTGCTAAGTACTCCTGCCCTTATAAATACCTTTATAAATACCATAACCAACTAGAAAAGTCAGTTTCACATTTCACCCTAAAAAACAGGGCCTGTGAAAAGCCCCTGGCTATCACCAGCCCTTTTTATACTTACATTCTGTTTTCTAGCTAGTGGTCATTCATCTAAAGAATTAAGAGAATGATTATTATGAGACATTATCTACACCACTTCTGTGACGCTGTACAACGGTTTCACCCTAACCGAACAACAGTTAGTGGAATAGTGTTTTCTCTCAGAGAAGTTCCTCCCTTTGTGTATTCTAGTTTACATCATTAACGGGGTTATTTAAGAGTAAATTACATTCATCCACTGAGCTAACGCTAGCAAGGCGACTTGGGAAAAACCCAGTCATATTCCACACAGGAACGTGACAATGCCTTATGCTGCGCTAGCAGCGTTACTCCACGTCCAAACAGAACATCAACTAGATAGTATGGCAATAAAAGCCTGCTAGATTGAACTGACTTTGCCTGTGAAGCTACTTAACACCAGCAGTAAGAATGACAGTCAGAAGAATGACACTTAAGATACAGAAAACCACGGGCAAGAACAGAGCAGGTCTTCCACCGTTTCAATTATGAACTGGGCCAGACTAAGAAGATGATCAAAACCCAATCGGTGCGGTTCCCAGCGACAGCACGGTATGCCAAATTCACCTGAAGACACCCTTCACCGGGGCCTTTTGCCGCTGCCGCGGGTCAGTTTGGGGAAGGAAAGCGGGGCCGCGGGTCAGAAGCCAGCTGTGGGCGTGCTCTGCTGCGGCCGCGGAGCTTCCTTCTCGCTTTGCGGGTTCTCTCCCGACA